CGGAAACGCACTTACCGCGGGGCAACAAGCGAAGCCTTCGCGTACCCACTTCCGCAATAAACAACCTGACTTCACCCCCCTCACAGACCTGCCTACTTGAACTTATCCTGAAGACGCTTTGTTATCCACCTTTGACGTTTCCGTAACTTGTTTCCTTCCTTACTTAGCGGTTGTCCGTTTACATTAAATAATAGAATAATAAACACACGTTTTATTTAAGTCAAATTAAATTGATAAAAAAGATACGCTAGTTTCTTACAATAAAGAAATGTTCATTGTAATTTCATTTGAATTGTATTCTAATATTAATCCTCATCGGCTCTACAAAAAGATGTGTACATATCGAAATACTACACTAAGTAAGTATTTGTGCCAACAGCTTAGTGCTTAGATCGCTTTGAATACTCGCTGTTATACTAAGTCTGCAACTTAACGCTTGTTAAGTACTAACGTGGCTGCGATATCAGAAACTTATGTATCACTTAGGACTTAACATATATTTGCGTGTGTGTCAGTGAATGCGCGGGTTCAAGGCGACTTGCAGTGAAACCAGTTCACTTCGCACTCGCCACTCCCCGTCTCCTACTCGTCACTCTACGCATGGTGTAGCGAAGAGACGCAACCGAACTTATATAGTTATAGATGCTATAAAAGACATTTTTGCATGAATTAATAATTATTTTTCTATTGACATTTGCATTTATTATTTTCATACACAGGACTTTAGTGTCTTTTGGGACAAATACTGAAAAATCCCTTAAACGGCTTTGTTAGCGCTGTTTACAATCTGATATCAAAAATTTTACTGGATTTCGAGTTTATGCGTGGCCTTATTTATTATTTAAGACGTCGTTATGTATTTAAATGTCGTTAAAGTATTCAGTCGTAGTCGTAAAGTAGACATGATACTTGAAATCATTTTTTAAAGGTTAAATTTAATTAAAACAACGACTATCGTTTCTACAGCAATTGAACTCTGTGAGAGTTATATGTACTTACTGTAGTCTCCCATAAAAAGTCAAAAAATGTTTCTCTATTTCATAGTAAAATGTAAATAAGTATAAAGTACAGTTACTACACAATACGATGTCGTGTTCGTAACAACTCTAATTCGTCGTATCATCAAGCAAACAATTTAATAAGCGGGTCAAGACCCGGCGTACGGTACATTCGACTGAACTCCGCTGTGCTCTACCGTCGATACGTGTGAATACATCCAATGTTAAATACAAAAAGAATACTTAACACGAGTACTTAAGGTCGCACTTTGTACGACATAAGTTTCTAGTGAGGACGAAACCGGAAGTGAGTCGTTGAATGTCGGAGCGGCGAGACGAATCGTCTTCCGGCGGTCAATGGCGAACTGATCGCACTTTATGAGTCGCGTTAGCTCTTACTCACCGCGACGTTGCACAGAATCATCGAGAAATATGTCGCTTGTTATTGTGTTAGAACGTGGAGCAACCGCGACGAGGGAATAACCGACTTGCACCGAGCGTTGCAATACCCTTTAATGGTGTCTTTAGCTGATCAAAGTATGTTTTAGATGTACATTTTTCTGTTTATGCTCTTTAAACTGTTGTACACGATCTGAAACTCAGATTTATTTAAATTAAAAAAACATTATGTAATCTTATCTTGAATACAACTCTACCATTGTAAACATTAACACAAAATTAATAACATTTACATTAGTCATAGGTATTTTAAATGTCATATCTTAATAACAGTTTATTTGTTTACTTATTTTATAAAAGGTCATCTGACATGGATTTTTTATTTATAGTTCTCTATTTCACAAAGTTGCAACATCATTAAATTTGAGTCAGCCAACGGTAGATAATAATGTTTACTTATAATAATAAATTGTGATAGTGTGGGAATTTTATTTAAATCAATAATATTTTAATGATGTAAGCATGTTAATTTCGTTCACGAATGTGAAATAATATGTAACATGAACCTCAATGCGATTTATCTAGTCCATCTTATTTGAATATCATATCTTGTAATTAAATAGATAGCCTAGTTAATGAGAATACAGAAAACATTTAAATAAGATAACGCACAATCACAACGGAACAGCGTTAGTTCAGGTTCGCAAGGAGACTTGAAAATAAACCGCCTCGCGCTAGGCCTTTGTAACGGCACTTTTGTCACGAGTTCACAAAAACCATCGGCCAAAGTTTGCTTTGTGCCATTCCATTACCGCCTTTTCAATATTTTATTGTATACTCTAAATGTTTATACATAGTTTATTAAAAACTCTTTGAATTCCTAAGTGTTGGCAAACTATTTTAAACTATAATTTTTAAATAAAAATCAAATTAAATAAAAAGAAAACTAACTACTTTAAAACATTTCAATTTAGCAAGGCTAAATTGAAATGGCACGTCGATTCTGGAACACGCGCGTTGAAGTCTTTTAAAGGGACGCTGTTTGCTCGTGCGGAACGAAGTTGGGACGTAACTATTTGCAAAGGTGCAAACGAAAAGGATTTTTTAACATTGATTGATAACAGATTCTTAATATGTCTATTAAACGTGAAAAAACTATAGGAGAAATTATATTAAAATTAAACAAGTACGGGCGAATCCACGGTACTAAGTAGACCGCGCTTGCCGCTCGCCGCCCGCGGATACCGGTCCGACTTGCCCACGTCACCGCCGCAGGCCTCCAGCCCCGCCACGGGCTCCCCGCCACCTCGCAACTTTCCACCGATCCTAAAGAAGCTGCTGTGACAATGCCGCAAACTTCTAAGTTCAACTTTAACTTTCGCCTGAAAAAATACATGGAGAATGCGAAAGTCACTGACCTGATAAATGTCTGGTGTCGGTCTGTGCAGCGACCGCGGCGGCCAGCGCGAGCGCCAGCCACCACGCCTGCCAGGCGCCCCGCATCTTCAGATCACCTCACACCACATCAACACCATAAAACACACACAGAAATCGAACAGAACTAGACAGAGAGCGGCGCGCTGCCAACGGTGCAGGCGGCGAGTTTTGAAAGTTTGCTCGCGCTGGGAAAGTTTTGTGAGGCGACTGTAGCGCCGATTGAACACGGACGAGCTGAGAAGGCGCGGGACTGCGACTAACTGAGCGCTCGCCGGCCGGCGCTGCGGGGAGGACACACCGCCGCTCAATTGCCCCAACCACTACTACTCTACTAAAAAATATTCTTCAATCTTATCATCCCTAATAGGAAAATCCAAACCAAAACGGAAAACAAAATTACATAGGCAATACCAAATATATTAAGTAATTCTCTACGTAATATAATATCGTAAAACTGTGTAACAGTTATATTATGTTTAATGATTTAGGAATTATAAGTAATTAAGTTTCGTTCATGCAATTTATGAATGACAAATAATCATATTAATATTTAAATACCTAACAAAAGTCATGATATATTTGCCAATGTTTCCAGCATTCAGCAGTTTTTCCCGATATCATGGTGAATATTTTGTGTGCTGGCATCCCCGGCGGCTCGCACAGGTGGTCGCGGGCAGGTAGCGCGCCGCCCCTGCCCCGCCGCCCCGCCGCACCGCTCTGTTTATTCGCTACGAGCGACATCGACACCGCATCGCATCGACCGACCATTTTTTATTCCCGCGCAAACTTTGACAACTTTCTGTAAACGATGACTTTGATGAATCGCCTCTTCGTCTATTTCAACGTCGACTTCCAACAACAGACAATCACTTATAATAATTAAACAATGGCCCACAGATTCTTCTTAAATTGTAGCACCAGTAAGGACTAACAATCTAACGATCGTGGGTTCGAATCCCGCCGTTGGACTATACCGATTTGACCGCACACCTGTCTTCTGAAATGTACTACTATATAGTTTAGGGAGAACCTACCCCTAAAGTAGAAGTCCTTTCATGAAACTGTACTTAAAAATCTATTTTATCTTTTACCTTCGAAGCTCTATCACTTTTCTGTTCGTTGTTTAGCCACATAGCCCGCTTCAAATAATTCTTTGATTTGAAACAAAAAATTGACAAAGATGAATATTACATTCTCAGAAATATTTAATTTATACAAAAAATTACTCGTCGAAACATATCACAAAGCAAAAAATTAAATTAAACGTGCTTAATGTTAATGTTTACATATTTTCCTTCTCTACATAGATATATGTTGTCAGGTAACATATGTAGCCGCGCTGTCGCTGGCTAGCACGAGCGTTGAGGAAAATCCTGATTGCGTCAGAGCGGAAAAATTAATTCATTATTTATTTGATTCCTTGAGAGTTGAGGTTATGGCTTGAAAGACGCCTCACTGCTTCTGTTTGTGTTTGTAACAACAATTCACTACACAATATTTTACCCACACATTCAACGTACTTGGTAACTATGTACTGTATGTATTTTATGTGATTTAATACGTTATTACAGTATTTGGGCATGTGATACTGTAGGCACGTACTTAAAATTTTTGCATCTTTATGCATGTTTACAATTACTACATTACATACAAGTACTAATTTGTTAATCCAAATTAATGTCACCAGCTCACTATATGTCCCCAATGAGGGGCCTAAGCTCAGTTAGGGGTGATAAGGCCATGTTCAACTACGTTGGCCCAAAGCGGTTCGTATAATTTTACTAGATATAAAATTACCACGATTACTTTTTGTTCCAAAAAGAATGTTTATAAACTTCTGGTACAATTTTTTAATTAACAATTTACAAAAAGTACTTGGGTTATCTATGTGGATCTCCAGGGATTCTAGGCACCTTAGTATATTGTTGCCTTTATGCCGACAGTAGTGCCGATTTTTTCAAACTAATTGCGTCCTTTTTTAAATCAAGTATCAATCAGGATTGTTAAGGTGATGTTAACAGTGAAACTACAAACAACTTTTACGATTAATTTCGTTACTGAATATAAATAAACAGATTTTGTATTTTGATTGTATTTGACAATCAAAGACAAAAAAAAAACCATCCATGTTGGAGCACAATGGCAACACAACGTAACGTCAAACGTCAAATGTCTTCAGTAATTGCTGTTGATAATTTTGCATTTTATTTGCTTATTCAATTAAAAATTGGACTGTGCATTTAATAAATTATAACAATATAAGTTTTATATAGAAATTTAAGTATATCCTATTTGTAATGTGCGCAACTCGCAGATAAAAATGTATTTCAAGTGATTGGTTTTATTCTATGAAAACAAAATGTCGGTCGCAGACCAACCAGACCTTTTGTTTTTCGATACTTTTTCGCACGACACAAGCGAGGTAAGATATTTTTCACGTTATGAATGATTACTTAAAAAAGTACTTAAATGTGTCCGGCATAAAAATGTTATGTGTGATTACAGTCTATTACTATGATCGTGTGTATAATTCATCACACAAGCCGCAAACCAAATCTGTTTGTTATCTAAAATGCTTACTATTTTCTTCCCTAAATTGTTGGACATTTCAGTTGTGAATTTGTAATAAATTCCTGGTTCTTGGTGTAAGGATAGTCTGTTAATATAATGACAAACTGTTAAGATGTTTTTTGATAAGTCTTGAGTAACTTTAGTTTCTACAGGTTTCTTATTCCTTTTCCATCTCCTAAAGTGATAAATATGGATATTCTTGCTTATTTTTGTCTATAGAAACCCAAGGTTAGAAAACAATTGATTTTTTAGTACTTCATAGATCAAAAGGCATTTACAAAAGCCCAATGCCATTTTCAACTCTGAAAAACACTTGCTTCAGAATGTTACGAAGTATTACATTCATTATCATACATTTAAATAGTGGAAATATAAATATTACTAAGTTTCTGTAAAAATCTTATTACAGGAGCTGAATTTGGACTTAGTACAATTCCCAAAATCAGTATATGTGAGGGAAATCCGAGTGATACCTTTAGGAGCGAGGGTTGAAGGCGATTTCCCCGGAGGAGTGCGTCTCGGTGCAACCAACCCAACAAAATTCCACATTGACTTTTTTGTCAATGACCTGAGCAAGCCGGGAGCATCAACATTTGAAGCTTTAGGCAGTTTAGATTATTGCCAGAATGGACAGATACATATGGAATGTGGTGCATCCCTTGATCAGCCTCAAATACCAACGGATGGTCTTGTACTTAGAGGTAAAAAATTATAATCATATTTGAACTGAGATTTTGTTTTAAACTTATTGACTTAAATATGTTTTTCTATTTGTTAGGTTGTTATACTACTATCACCTTGGCAGTTTACGGTAATTTAACTCAAATTATACAAGAGACAGCAGTGGGCAGCAACCCTCCCGCCAGTGTACAACGTCAAGCTGTCACTCGCGAAGTTGTGACAGCACCGCCGGCCGTGCCCCAGCCCGCAGAATGGAGTCAGGATGGATCCAATCCTATCCCTTCCTACACGGGAAATGTAGCCACTGGGAATCCCGATTCCTATGGCCCCACAGTTTATCCAGAAAATTATGATAATCAATTGTATAGAAGTGATTACTATGGAAATGAGCCCCCTAAAGATCCGAGGACTTACCATCACTTAGATGAAAACAATTGGGAGAAGGAGCGAAGAGATGTGAGTTTAGAGAGAGACGGAGACCGGATTCGTCACAGTCCGCGTTCCCTGGAACACGACAGAGACAGAAGGGACGGCAGGAGTCGCAGGCGGTCGGTGGA